TGAAATCCAATCACACAGAATCTTAAAGTATTAGATTTTAAAAGTGCAGCTTGATAAATTTTCATGTAACACACACTGTCTAGGTCAAGACACAGAACAGTTCTAGTGCAGTCAAGCATGGTGGTGCACACCCACAATCTCAGTACGTGGGAAGCTGAGGGAGAGGGATCACTGCAAGCTTGAGGGCGCCCTAGGCCACACAGTGATTTTAAGGACAGCCTGAATTGAGTAACAAGACCCTGTCTCAAAAACTTAGAGAAAACCTCCCCCCAAACACAAACAGGCCCATTGTCTCCTTCCAGCCAATAACTCCTGATGCCTACAACAAAACAACTACCACTGACCACTCTGGCTTGTTTTCCATCATATAAATGAATCACACAGAATGTACTCTTGTCTGTTTTTTTTCACTCAATCTTACTTTTGTGGGAGTAATATATTCCTTTTTATTGCCAAGTAATAATCCACGGTATGAATATAATACATATTTATTTACTGTCCTACTGATGGACATTTGAATTGTTTCCAATCTTCTACTATGTATAAAGCAGCTAGACATGAACATTCTTAAGCAAGTCTTTTGATGGACATAAACACTCATTTTCTCTTGGGTATATATCTAGAACAGGCTGTCAGATAACAGGTAGGTTGTGTGTTTAACAAAGAGGCCAGATTTCTAAAGTGATCATATGAACTTTCTAGGAGCTATGTTTGAGAGCTCTCATATAAAGTTTTTAATTAATTAAAGTTAAGCAGTTGTGTGTGTGTGTGTGCGCGCACGCGTGCCTGTACGCGCGCACATGCATGCTAGGGGCTCATCTTGCTTAAACCCAGGGCTCTGGCATGATGAGGACATGCTCTCCTACTGAATGACACTCCTCAAACCTCATCTAATTATGTAAGTTTTTAAATTTCAAAAAGTTCTTCAGTTGAAGACCAGATTTTTGTTTTCTCATCATTTAGAACAGGCACAAAATAAGCAGAGTGATCATATTTCAGAAGATATGCAAGATGATTTGGAGGCTCCAAGGAAACAAATAGAGCTTCTACTTTAGTTTCTTATTCTTTTAGCTACAAAATAAACTTTGTAGATATTTAATATTTAAATTGACACTAGTACCCTTATTCAGATAATTCTGTTAATTCGGGTTCACTGTGATTTACTGCCACTTGTGTGTGCCTGATTGAGCACAATTGTGGAGTATTTAGTTCCTCTCATCAAATGAATAAGAGACTTACAATGATAATACTAATAAGCATAAGCAAACAACAAAAGTGTCTAACCCAACACTTCTAGTTTTAAAAATCTCTTTAGAAGATAAAAACTATAACCATCTATCTAATCCAATCTCATGAAAAGTTCAGATTTTTAAAAATACAGACTTAATTTTGCTGTTAATGATATTTTGCCAATAAAAATTTAAAACATTATATATTTCTTAGGTCATGTCTCTTTCTTTTTTGTACTGGGGATTGAATTTAGGACTCTGTGCTTGCTAGGCAGGCACTTATGCTGCTAAGCTACCTCCCTGGCCCCCACTGCCATCTCTTTTACTTTCTTTTGGGGTTTATTATTTATAATGCATATGGATAGTAAAACACAAAGAACAAGTATACTAAATTTTAAAAAGACCCTAAATATACAGTATTAGTACATGGAAAATCTTTTTATTAACAGGGTGCATAATGAAGTATGCTGCATAGAAATAGCTAGCTGCTACTTAACGTTAAAACAACATCTGCAGTGTGGGAGGAGAAGGAAAACAGTAACCTACAAGAATCCTTCGGGAAAAGGCATGAGAAACTTCCTGGACGCTGGTGCTGTCTATACTGTAGCAGGTACTCATATTATACTATAGTGTACACATTAGTCAAATTCTCTGAATGGTACATTTAAAATAAGTATGTTTTATCCTATGCAAATTTTACCTTATAAGTAAAAAAAGACACATAAACATTGACTTCTAGTTAATTATGAGTATGAAGTATCTAGGAATAGGCTATTACAGTGATATCTCTAACTTACTTTAAAATGTGTAAGTAACATGGACTATTGTACGAACAGAGACATACGAACAGATATGTGAGAGAGCAAACAAATTTAATCATAAAATCTAGGTGACAGACCCATGGGTTCTTAATACTATCCTCTCAACTTTTCTGTATGTTTAAAATTTTTCATGATAAAATGTGAAAAACAATCCATTCAGGAGCTGACAACTGACAAATATTAATAACTAAGAGCTGGGGGATAGTTCAGTGGCATAGGTGCCTGCCTGGTAAGCTTAAGGTCCTGAATATGACTCCCAGCACCAAAACAAAAAAAACACACAGAGGAACAGGGAGATAGCTCAGTGGCATTAAACGCCTGCCTGGCAAGCACAAGGTCCTGAGTTTGATCCCCCAGTACCACACACACACACACACACACACACACACACGTAAGTAAATAAAGCGTTTATAAAACACACACACACACACACACACAAAAAAAAAACTCCAAACATTCTAATATTAGTAAAAAAGAATAGTAATAGTGTAGTGATACAAGGGTAAGATAGAAGTTTAAAAAGGAAAATTGTAGGAACAGTCAAGCACCACTGCCTGGTACTTTCAAATATAGTAGTTCCCCCTTATCTGCAGGGTATCCAGCACCCTAAGGGATCCCTGAAACCATAGCTAGTACCAAAGCCTTTGTACATTGTTTTTTCTTATATATGCATACTATGATAAAATTTATAGATTAGGCACAGTTAAGATATTGACAACAGTAATAAATAGTATAATTATAGCAACATACGTCATGGCTTATAAGAATGCAATCACTTTTTCTCAAATATCTGATGGTAATATACTGTATTTTGGGGCTGGGGAAAATAAAACCACAGATAAGAGGGATTATTATATGCTAGGTGTGGTGAGAATTATGCTCATTTTATAGGACAGTAAATTGAAACTGAGAAAGATTATAGAATACACACAGTCACAAAGTATGAAGGCCAGCCAAGAACTCAATCCAATTTGTCCAAATTCTGAATCCTCTTGACCCACATTCCTCACAAGGGGCTGGCAAAGACCAACTATCCTCCCTACAGCAGGGAAGTCCTTTTCTATTCCCGCAAGAATCAGCCCTGACTCTTAGAAGCTCCTCCCTACAACAAGAACTGCAATCTGTCTACTCACATTTTTTCTTCTAGGTTTGTATCTTGGGACCATACAGAATGTAATCCTCATGGCTTGGCCTTCACACCAGGAGCAAGGATGTGAAATCTGAATAAGCAGGACTTTTTTTCCAATTAGGATTTTATGACATAATCAACAAAGTTATAACTAAGTATAAATGGGGATAATGCCTGATAGAACAGAGATAAAAATAACAGAGTGCAAGTGAAACATGTAACAAGAATAGGCACTCAAACACCTTTTTCTACTAATCTTTACCTTTCCTTTGAAATTCTAACATGTCACTCCCTACAAAATAATACTTTTTAAAAGAGTCTTACTTAGGTCCTTTCCCAGAGTTTATGTTAAATGCACATATATATTTCTTTATATCTACTTTATCAAAAAATGTGATGTATGTTGCTTCCTCATTTTCTATTCCACTTTTGCCTTAGGTCAGCATTATAACTTCAGGAATTTAATGTACAATTAGATATACAACTAGAAGCACTTCTTCAGCACTTTTTCTGTTTTAAAAATTACTACAGGTGGCCAACCTGTGCAAGCAACATGTTCATGAAATTTTAGGTCTTTTCTTTCTGACCTCTGAAAGATTATTTTTCAAAGATAAGATTTAACAAAAGGAAAGAAAGCCACTGTATTAGAAGAAATGACCAACTGGTGATGGCAACCTTTAATTCACGTTTGAGTCTGTGTATGCATACTAAAGTCACATATTTTTTATTGTCAACTATATCCATGGGTTTCTTAAAGGACACTTAAATTCATAAATCTTGCTCCTTTTTAAGCAATACAGTACTACAACACATTTTAAAAACCAGTAATTCTACTTGGAAAACTTTGTCTTATTTAAGGATCTGCATACAGGTCAGACATGAAGACCATCCATAGTCTGGAAACCTGAATAAAACTGTTTTTTTTTTTTTTTTTTCTTCTAGATATCTGAAGTTGTTAGTGTTGGTATGAGTCCTAGAAAGGATTATTTTATATTTCACAGAGGCAGCTTAAATGATAACTACATAACAGCCTGTATTAGACACCAGGTCCCACCTAGCCCAATGTTCTTTCCTACAGTCAGGCCAAACCAAATACTAAAACAAGTGATTATGTCCATCCATTACCTCAACTTCACTACATTTCAGGGTGGCCACCCATGATGTCACTTCCTTTTGTGAATGGGTGCATTTTCCCCTCTTGGTTCTTCTATCTTCACTAAACTACAATACATCCTCGAGCTCGCTCCTGATCAAGCCAATCCTTCCCTTGCCTATTTCTGTTCCTCAAGAGTCTCCGAAATGCCCTGGCCATCCTTTCCACTACGTCTCTTCATTCGAGTACTCAAATGCCAAATACCCAAAGCCTAAAAGAAAAGAGATTGATTTTACAACACAAGGCACACACGGTAGCGCCGTCCCCCTTCTCGGCCCCCAGGCCTATCGAGAAAGCTTCAAGCCTTGCGTTCCGAGCAGATGCTTTCTAGAGAAGCCGGCGACAGCGACAGGCTGGCCGGCGGGCGGCAGCGCCGCGAGGGGTCGGGAGGCCGGCGCGGGCCGGGCGCCGACCTGAAACCAATATGGAGGTGAGGAGGCGCCGGGCCGGCCGGACCCGCGAGGCGGGGACAGCGGCGGGTCCCGGCCACTCGCGGTCGGTGCCAAGGACGCGGGGCGCAGGAGCCCCGGGGCGAGGCGGCGTCGGAGCCGCCCGCGGCCTTGGAGGGCGAGGCCGCCATCCCCGACGTCCGGGCCGCAGCGGTGGGCAGGGGCGCGCGCCATCATGGAAGGAAGATGGTGGGCGGCGGCGCGGGGCCGCGTACTCACCCGCGCCGGCCAGTGCGGGTAGCCCTTCATCTTGGCGAAGACCAGGTCGCCC